GGTTGAACTATGTTTTTAAAACGTTGATAGATAAACAAAAGAACAATGAATCAAAATCTCACAACAAGCAATAAAAACTGTACAAGTACATAGCAGTCTCAGACGAACCAAAAAAACCTATTACAATAAATCTACATTTACTCAAAAAGGGGGAAAAAATCAAACTCAAACCAATTCAGATAGAACAAAAGAAAACAGATCACGATTCAATCATTAACAAATCATAATTCAATTAGAAAATGAAGCAAATTATACCCATGGTTGCCATCTTGCGTTCTAAGCGTTCGAGGACAGGGGAAGCGGTTCTGACCTGAGCTTTAAGACTAATAGGCGATTGCTGTGCGCAACAGAGACACGGCCTGTTTCTCCGTGCGCAACTCCGTCCGAGATGTCGACACGGAGACACAGGCATGTCTCCATGCGAGACGGAGACATGTCTCTAGCCTCCGTCTCGAACGGAGACATTGACGATGTCTTCGTATTGGGGAATCGGCATGAAGAAGGTGACTGGTGGAAGACGGAGGTTGCGCTCCTCCACCGTGAGCTCGGCTCCGGCGGTGGAGGTGACAAATCTGGGGATGCAGCTAGGGTTTTTTATTTGTTGTATACAAGGCTATTCTTCTATGTTTTCCTTTTTGGCTGAAATGGATTGGTTTTGGTAAGAGATGGAGGCGGTGGAAATGGGACGAGACGACGTTGTTTTGGTGGGGGCACGAGAGCTCGACACTTGGCAGGAAAAACTGCCTCTTTTATGTAGTTAGGATAAAGTTTATTCGCGTTATTTTTTAATGGATTGAGTAGGCTAAATTGTTGGATACGTAGGTTGAGTTTCAATTTGAACTAAAGGCTAAATTAAAACATTAGTGAAAAACAAAGCAAAGCGAAATAGCAAAAAATTAGAATCCCTAATCCGAAACCAAAATTAAAATTGTGACAACCTCGATTCCAACTTCATTGGATAGTAAACCTTGGACTCCATTGTTACTTAGATGGATGATAAGCACCGTGGCGTACTACATCATATTACTCTCAATGAAGGATAATGTTACGTATCATAACGCTATTTAATTTTAATTTAAGTGAAACTGAAGTCTACTCTTATAATTGGAGTCATAAGCAATAGAGTAACTCTATTTAGCACAAATAGTGTTAAAATTCCAACAAAATACAATTGACCACTAGTGGTATTGAACACGGCTAATTATAAATAGCATTACTTCTTAATAGAATGTAAGAATATAAGACCCTATTGTCATTCAATGCCTGTGTGAAGTACCTAAAAATAAGATTATTTGGAAATTTAGAATTGAATTACAAACTCTGAATAAAAAGTTGTGGAAGCTTGTCCCACCATTGTAATTAGGGCTGTAAATGGATCGAATTTGCCCATATTCAATCTGATCTGATAATTCAACGGATATTTGATTATTAAATTTATATTCGATTTGCTATGTTATCGGATATCCGATTCGATTATTCGATTCTAAATTAAAGAAACTAGAAAGACAAAAAAATATATATTAGTCAATTTCTAAGCCCTAGAATTAAAATNATGTTATCGGATATCCGATTCGATAATTCGATTCGAAATTAAAGAAACTAGAAAGACAAAAAAATTTATATTAGTCAATTTCTAAGCCCTAGAATTAAAATGCCCAAATAGCTTTTTACCCAATTATCTGTCCAACCTATTTATATTTTGCAAATTATATAGTATTCTAGCCCCTGTTTGGTACACATTAAAATTTTCATTCTCATTCTTCTACTTATTTTCAACCACACATTTTTCAATATAATAATATTTTCTATCACATCAATAACTTTTCCTTTTTTTTCAACCACACATTCTCTATCAATATACTATTCCAGAATACATTCTTTCAAAATAATGTAACTCAAACACACCCCCAGTGAGTATCCAATGTGGGAAGTTGGAAACAATGAAATCACCTCCAAATGTTGGCTCATTTGATTGTTTAATTTATAAAATAACTTAATTATTTTTTTTTTATCTTAATTTAATTAATAAAAAACTAAAACTCTCCAAATATTTCAATTGACAATATCATTCAATTAATATTATTTATTATTTGAAAATTATGTGTAAAGTATAATACAAATTTCAAAATGATTTTTTTTTTGTGATAATATATAAAATATATTATATTATTATAACAAATCAGATCGTATTGTTATCGAATTTGATTGACATATATCCATATTTGCTTCATTTAGTTAACGGATTATCAGATTTGGATCTTTATTGAATTATCGGATTGAGACCATAAATCAATCTCTTATTAATTTCATCGAACTTGAATCGAATTCGGATTAAAATCAAATTCATTGACAATCCTAACTGTAACCATGTGTGACATAATGTAACGTTTATATTGCTTACAAATTTTAATTACATTTTGACCCTTCCTTCATGAGTAATGCTATTCAACTTTATTGATGTTTAACACTAATCTAAGTGATAATTAGATGACATTAAATGATATATTCATTTAAATGAAAAATCAAATGATCCATCAATTGGACCGTCGAGTGTGACCACCTAAACTGGTTCTCTAATATTACCAGTGCTATCATGCTAAGATAACTTTATTTTTCCTTAATGAATAATGTTAAAACTATGGATAATTGCCCTACACACATGGAAGTTTATTATTTGATGCATGATGTAATAAAAACCTATCACCTTAATGTATCAAATAACAAATTGTCATATGTATGCTACGTAAGGCGACTACCAGTAGTTTTCACTATGAATAACATTATTCTTCCTTACTACATTTAGCCATTATTTGATCCTCATTATTTTCAAAATACATTTTTCTCTTTCTTATTTTCAACCACACATTATTCAATAAAATAATATTACACACAAACCCAAATTTTTCTTTATTTCTTAACTACACATTCTCTATTAATCTACTATCCCAAAATTCATTCTTGCAATAAAATGGGGCTCAAATAGACTCTTAAAGACTAAATTGCCCCTATCATTACTTGCCATGTGGTTACCCATAGAATATGTTCAATGGCATTTTCAACATTTCATTTTTCTGTTGGAGGTATATGCACCGCTTTTCGTTAGATTATCCCCAGTACATGAATTTCATGAAAATAATGCTCTATAAAATCACTGTGCTACAACAATAGTCTAAGTAACGCTAAATGATATGTTCAATAAAAGGTAGAATTAAATTATNTTGGTACACATTAAAATTCTCATTCTCATTATTTTACTCATTTTCAACCACACATTTTTCAATAAAATAATATTTTCCATCACATCAATAACTTTTCCTTCTTTTTCAACCACACATTTTCCATCAATCTACTATTTCAGAATACATTCTTCCAAAATAATGTGGCTCAAACACACCCCTAGAGTATCCAATGTGGGAAGTTGGAAACAATGAAATCACCTCCAAATGTTGGCTCATTTGATTGTTTAATTTATAAAATAACTTAATTATTTTTTTATCTTAATTTAATTAATAAAAAACTAAAACTCTCCAAATATTTCAATTGACAATATCATTCAATTATCTAATATTATTTATTATTTGAAA